CAAGTCCTTTTGCACTATTTTCGCGAGTTTTGCTTCAAAGTCACTTCTGATAACGCAGAATGGGTTAGAAATGAAAGAAAATCTGATGACGATAGTGTAGAGATTTTCACAGGATTTCCAGACGGGCTATGGTGGTTTTGTCGATTCTAACTTTCTTCAAAATAGTGCAAAAGGACTTGGCCGTCTTGGAGACGTGATCAGTAAAAGTCGATTTTCTCAGTGAAAAAACAGAATTTCGAAAAAAGCTCTTTATTAGTCTGAAGCCTGGCCTCTGGCGAATCCAACCACGTAAAAGTTTTGGCACTAGCTTCTTTGAGAAAAATTGAATTAGAGCCGCAAAGTTTGATGCACGCTTTCAACACATACCGATTTTAGACACCGGGAAAAATCCGTTTATGGTCCTAGAAGTCTGAAAGTTGCTTTTCCAGATTCAGTTTTCAGCGCTGAATCTGAAACATTTAACCATAAAACTCGAAAACGAAATTCGGGAAACCGAGGGTCACTTTTTTGAAAACGTAGATTTTTAAGGTTTTTCACATGCTTCAAGTATTTTGAGGATATCTCAGCGTGAAAACGATTTTGGAAGATGGGGACGTGATCCTCATTCGATTCTGAGAATGTATAAACGAGCAAAATCTAAATTCCGCTCGAACTCTGCTTTCCATGCATCTTGCAACAAAATCATAATTATCAACAACGTTATTGAACATTTTATATAAAATATCATATTTGATCGTTGGCGTTCGGGCAACGAGGCAATTATCCCATCTCAAAAAAAATTTCAAGATTATTGCCTGTGAATTATATTTCGCAGCAGTCTATTTTCTTAAAATTCGAAGAAAAAAAAACAATGTTTGATTGCAAAATTACGTACATCTCTAGAAGTACGTTTCTGCATGTACCACTCTAGAAAGTTTATTGAGCGCCGCCTAGAAAATGTTTTCCAATCCGCCCATACACTTGACATCATATCTGTTTTTAACTAATCATTTAAACTTGACTAGTAACGAAAGAATCGTTGACATCGCGTTCTTCAACGTTGTTCATTATCTACACCGAATGGTTCAATGAAATACACGACTATAAAAAGAGAGAAAATCTCAACGGCATCTACAACAGCACGTATTTTTCATATCTCATTTCAACCTGGTCCTGTGTACAAAGGCGAACGTATACTTAACGAGTGAGAAAGAGTACCTCCATTAGTATAACTGGCGAACTGTCCAAGCCAGAATAGTACACAATTCTGAATGTATCTACTCTCAGCAAATTAACAGCGGAGTTTTTGATCTGCCTTAGAGACTCATGTGAGAAATATTTTCTACTGTCGGCACATCACCAACTCTAAGCTTATCTAAGAATATAATGATGTCACAGACGATTCCAAGAGTAACGGAACTATCTAGATCATTTTATACTTCTGTATTAGCGACTTCTTCAGGTAAATCATTCGTATCAGTATCAAATAATCATTGTTTTACGTTATCTTGAATATCGTTTGTTGTTTGTTAATTCTTCTCTTTCAAACCCGTGCTAATTATTCGCACCATTTACACATCAGATAAGATATTGATCCACAATTCTACGACAAGTATCTGTCAGTATTTCATATTTTAAGAACAAATAAATCGATATGTTTTGCACACATAAATTTCAATATTCACATATAATCTCAATTATTTTGAGTAATCCATAAGCGCTTTATTCATTTCATAACCATAGTAGTTCGTATGTTAGTGCAATCAAAATTATTGTGATGCATCTATTTACAATAATATGTCCAATAAAATATACGACAAATATTAATTAAATACATCAACTATATATTAATTTTATTCTTACTTTCTTGTTGTTTTACACTGGATTGATTGAAAAATACCCCGCCTTTCGGCTACCTTGCGGTATAGGGTGCTGTCCGGAGACAGTTTCGTAAGCCCGATATCATCCCTACAACTAATATTAGCTGTAGCTCTTGACAGAAGGCCAGCGTGAGTTCTTTCGCTCAATCGCTTGAGCTCTCCGTACACACTGACTAACCGCATACTAGCTACGAGGGCTGGTATATGTCACAACATAGTCAGCATGTTATCGGACGGGTGATCCGAGGCAAAGAACCGTTAATGACTTGCCCAAGGTCATCGAACACAGTACCAGGGGGATGCGTGCCAAGCAACTTAATCACACAGCCATAGTTGTTCCACACTGGCGTTCTATTGATGACGCCCTAAAATCTTGATGAGGAGTTCATTTGAAATGAAAACAAGCTTCTTTACTTTAAAGTCATTCTATACCTTTTAATAATTTTAGAAAAATATGAAACAACTTAAATTAGATAACAACCCATCAAAATAAACTATAGCAAGAAGTTATCTAATATACAATCTTCTTTCCTTAATGCTTTCCAAAATGTGGAGTAGACTATTTAGATCTGATACTCCCAGTTCAGTTCAGTCAACGGGTGACAATGTTCATGCACAATAAACGGCCGTTTATAACTTTTTTCTCACTCAACATTTCGACTAAACACAATTTTTTTTTTTTTAATATTATACACTATATATATCTATATATGTTCATGCCTTTCTGAACAGCATATACCATACCTCTCTTTCTGCACTGAACGACCGTGAAAGTTGTCCGTCAAAAAAAATAGAATGACATTGACTACATAATTCGAATAATTTTATGAATAATTAGACAATCAATCTTTCTCAATTGTTGCTAAATACGATTATATCAACTTTAGTCTACACGTAAATGGAATCATCACTGATATTTTAAACTGTGTGAATAAAGTGATAAAGATATTCGGTAAGTTAACTTGATAAAAAGATATAAAGAAGATTTATAGGATTTTTCTAAAACTTCATTTATTCAAACGAGAACGAATTCATCTGAAAAGTCAAGTTTTCAAAATTTACTTTAAATAATCTTTTTTTTAATCTCATGTGTGCCTAATTTTTCTTAACAAGGATTGCTGTTCCAAGGCACGAATCACTCGATTTTTTCAAAATTGTACACAGACACTTGACATTATTTATTTCTGTTTTTTTTACAGATTACAATGGTGACACGATTTGAACGTCTTCCAAATGAAATTTTTCTTTCTATTTGTGATTATCTTTCTCCCACACACATTATTTATGCCTTTTATACGTTAAATTCTCGTTTTAATTATTTAATTAATATGTTTTACATTTCTGAAACATCAATTAGTTTGGTCAATGTTGATGAATCGATGTTTCATCATTTTCGATGTAAATTATTTCCAAAAATTCAAAATCACATTGCTCGATTACGATTAAGTGGTATTTCACAAGTTTTAACAAAAAAATTTTCGAATAAATTTTCAAATTTGGCATCGTTACAATTGATTTTAAATAATATGAAAGATATACAGACACTTTTATGGTATTCAAAGTCATTAGGAATATCAAAAGTAAGTGAAATCAAACTCTTCGAATTATTATACGATTTGTAAAGGAATCTTAACATGTAAAAAGAAATCGACTAGATTATCAAGTAAATAAATGTTTATAATATCATTTTTTTCATTTACTCTAAAATAGATTATAAAGGAAAATCATAATTTTGCTTGTTTTCTCTAGTCATTGGTTGAATTATCAATTATTTTTGAAATTTGCTCACATCAAGATGAAACAAAAATGTTGTTGAATAAACTTTATCGTTCGTTATTATTTCAACCTGGTCGACAACAATGTTCATTGGTCTCATTGTCAATTACCGGTCCACCATGTCTATCATTAACAATCAATCATTATCTCATGAGGCCATGTTATTTAAGACGGTTAACAGTTCATCTAATATCCTACAATGATTTACTTATTCTATTTAATAATTTGCCATTAGTCGAATATTTTAGCGTAGTATTAGAAGAAAAAATTGGTAAGAATAAATTTTTTTTTCTAATATTTGAATATATTTTTATTTTGTATTAATAATTTTTAGCTGGTTTTTATCCATATACATACGAAAATATATTTTCTGGCACAAAATTATTAAGTGAATTTCAATTTTATTGTCCATCAATAATTAATTATGATCTTGTTGAATTATTACTCAAACAATTGGTTACACTACGAAAATTATCACTCCGTCTTTGTTGTAAATTTTCAAATGGTGTTATTGATGGTCAACGTTTAGAAAGTGGATTTTTAACAAAATTAACACGTTTAGGTAGGAAATAAAACAATTCGAAACTATTTTGAACATCTTTACTGTTATATTTAATCATTTTCATTCTAGAACAATTTAATTTTTGTATTTGTTCATGTTATATGGATAATGGTTTAGGTGTAATTGATGATTATTTTCTCTCAACATTTCAAACAGATTATTGGATTAAAGAAAAACGTTGGAAAATTGGCTTTTATCCAATGCCCTATGTATTTGTTTTCTATATTACATTTTCATTACCATTTGCATTCGATGTTTTTGACTCGACTTCAACTGATCTACTAAAATATCGTACAAATTTTGGTAGTGTAGATGATAATAATAATGACAATTGGAAACAAGTAAAAAATCTTTATCTATTCGATAACAAATCGTATACACAAAAATTTTTTCAATTAATTCATGAAAAATTTTCAAATGTCAAACAAATTACAATTGAAAATCATCTAAGCATTGGTAGGTATAAATTTGATCTGAGTATCTAATGTCTCTTATAAACAATTTCGTATAGAGAGTATTGTTTTTTTTTCTTCTATTATTTAGAAGAAAATGAGAAAATTATCTCATTACCGAGTGTTGACAGTGTTCGATTTGTCTCATTAAATAAATATCGTACAAATGCTCAACATGTTAAACAATTGCTACTAATGACACCAAATATTCGTCAATTAAAAATCAGTTATATTTTATTAGCACGAGCAACAAATTATTTTCGTGATCAACGTTTAAAAAAAATATGTTCACATCTCGTTCAATTAGATGTTGATTCTTATCCAGAGCAATGGTTGTATGGAGATGGTCTAACAATGAATACATATGCTCAACGATTTAAAACATATTTTCCAAATTTATTAAATTCTTGCATTTAAAAAGCGATTTTGATTTATTTCATCTCTCTTTTCATAAAATTTTAATATTCAATTTGTACACATGGCATCTATTTCGTTATCTAAAATTTTTGTGATAATCGAAATTATAGGCCTTTTTATCAAATACTCAATGATCATTAGGAAGAAAATATTACGTCTATTATCTGATACTTTTCCTTAACATGAAGAAATCCGGTCTTTTTATCATCTTTCAAAATTGAACAATAGACTTTAATCATTGTAAATTTAAAAAAAATTATTGCTTTTATAACAAGGCTGTTTATTTAATCGAATCTATTCCATTTAAATTTTGTTTCATTAAAGTAGGCATGTCAATTTCAAGTAGTTTTCAAATAACATGATTACTGGTCTTTCAGTCAAAATTATCGTTATTAAGAATTTACAATCCAAGCTTTCTCACTCTACCGTTGTCTGATCTGGATAGAAAAAATTGAATTGAGATTTAGAAGCCTTAATCATAATTTACTAAAGATTATTCATATGAAGATCATATGCCTTTTAGAATGAAGGATTCACTCTAATACTGATTATATTGACACCCGTTACGTCAGCAATAAATAGAGAAAAATATTTGTTCAGAATGGATCGATTATTGGAAAATCGTACAACTACTGACGAGGAAAAGTATCGGCTCGCTATATGAGTGCATTGAATAACTACAAATGTGATATTCGTTTCTGCTACCAAGTCTTTCGCAAGTGATTAGCTTGGGTTTATAAATAATGAGCATGAACTTTTGAAGAAACAAATTTTTGACAATGCCGGTTTAAAGAGAATGTTTAGTTGTTATGCACAAACATTATTAGAACGTAAGTTACAGCGTTCTTTATTCTCGTTATTTTGCAATCAAAGAAGTACGATTTCTAGAAAAATACTGCAGAATGGTATACTATTCTAGTGTCTATTTCAAAATTTACCGGATAAGCCAGAATAGATGAGTCAGTATTTTGCCCATAACTTGGTTTGGACTTGTTTCTGAGACTTACTATGAAATACTACAAAATCATACCTAAACTATAATTTCAGAACTTCAATCAAGAAAACTAAGCCAATTAGATGAAAGTTCAGAAAAATGAAATTTTCCAAACTCGAAATTATTTTCTACTTGAACTATTTCTTATGCTACTATTTCCGCTAAAACGTGTAGTAAAAGTGAGAACTCAGTTTATGTTTGGTACTTTCAAATGTGCTCTTTCTCGTGGTTTTAGAGCAGATAGTGTGCTGAAGAATGAAGTTACAAAAATAGGTCAAACGTTGACAACCTCCGCGTTTTCAACAATGTGTACAAGCAAGACACGAAAAACATGATTGAAGTTTTGGTTTTGCAGTTAGATAGAGAAGAGCAGTCATTTCTGATCAAAACAAAACAAACCCGATCGAACAAGCGTTTATTATTTATGGGAGTTTTACTGAAAGCACTACTATAGTCAAAATTTAATAAATTAATGAAAAAATGCATGACAACCGACAGAAAAACTATTATTTTGCCGTGATTTGGTGTGAAAAAATTTGAAGCATAGCTAAATGTTAGATGGAAGTCTGGGCTACAAAATGGATAATTCAGTTTTTCTTGCTTTCAAAACGTTAACAAGAAATCATTTTTGAGTTTGGAAAGTTTTCATTTATTTTGAACTTTCATCTAATTGGTTTAATTTGCTTGATTGAAGTTCTGAAATTATAGTTTAGGTATGATTTTGTAGAGTATCTCTCAGCGCATCGTTTTAAAAAAACATCAAGTCTCGGAAACAAATCCAAATCCAAGTTATATGTAAAATATTCAGACCCACATTTATTTATTTATTCCCACCCGGTAAGATCTGTGGATGATTGTTGAATATCTATTGATAGGAATGAGATAAAGACTTGCGGTTTTCATCATTCGAAAAAAAAACTTTGCGACATGTTTCCATAAGTAGAAATCTTTTCAAAAGGATTTCTTAAAATAGGTTTTTACGAGTTCTTTGGAGAACTCAGTTATGACTTAGAAGCAATCTAATAAGATTCAATTAATTTTATTCATGGATTGACAGCCCAGAGTGTCCTCTTCAAAATGGTAGTTAAGCGAGATTTTGATTTCAATGGTTCGAGTATGTTACCGAATTTCCTTGGAGTTTCAGCACTGATGTCTGTCGCCTTGTGGTAACCATCGGAAATGGATGGACTATAGATAATCAATCAGGCTGAGTCTTGCAGAAATATTTGTTTTCAGAAAAAGATTTTATAAACTATTGTTTTTAATTTTTATTAATTTATTAAATTTAATTATTATAATGACAGCGACGCTTTTCGCCGGTTTTCACGTGATATTAAAAAACTCACTGTTCACTCAGAAAACAGCCGAACGACTGCAGAACTTCAGAATATGGTTAATTTTGTCCGCTAGACATGATTATAAGATTGAACAAATTGAAAAACCATCCTTTTGTTCTGACGCTTCCAGAAGCCTTTTCAGGAAACCATATAAAATAGTCTAAATACCGTAGATCCCGAAGTTCTACATTCGTTTGGCTGTTTCTCAATTAACAGTGAGTTTTTTAATATCAGGTGAAAACAGGCGAAAAACGTGGCCTTCATTACCTAATGATTTTTTTGAATAAAAACAAAAAATTTCCTTTGAACTCATTGAAATCGACATTTTGTACTCTTGATACATCTAAACTCATTCAAGGAGTAAAAAATTCTTCGAACGTCTTTGCATATTCTAAAGGTTAATGCATTTGGAAGTCTTAATTTTTCTGATTTTCCTAATGCATTTTTACATTCTCATCAGGTTGAAAGTTTTATTAACTACATATTTAAACTTTTTGAAAATTTTCACGCTTTCGAATGTATAAAAAAAGTTTTCGCTCCATATAATATTTGTGTATGAATGAATTTGTAAAAATGCATTAATAAAATTAAAAATGTTAAGATTCCTAAACGCATTTATATAGAATATAAGTTTTAGACATATTTATGATACATTTATTTGGAGAAGTTTCATAGGTTATTAAGAGAAATATGCTTAATACGAAAAATTTCTTTTCTAATGATTTATTCAATAAAGTAGAAACTTGACTAAAATCATCTATTATATATTGTACATATAAAAAAATAATGAATATTCTTAACTTACATATAAAAAGAAAACAAGGTAAAGTACAAAAGTATGGATTTTTTGGACGACAATTATAATACTAACCCGTTGTTTTGTATATTTTTCCAGCATATTACATAATTTCAAGTAAACATTCTCACATATTATTCGAACTAAAGAAGACAAACGCTCAGAATATTATGTAAGTGAGTAATACTTTGAATAGTTCAACGAAAATATTTTTCTGTTAGTATTTTTTACATGCCATCTTTACTGTACAAAACACAATAAACAATTTAAAACAAAACAGCATCTGTTAATGAAAGTATTTTTTTTTATATTAAAACGATACATATATACAAATATCAAAGATCATTACGAGAAAACTTTTTAAATATCTTCTAGTTCTTGATTACATGTGGTTTTAATAAAGCTTAATTTTTAATAAAGGTATCATATATCTGTTCGTGATTTTTTCCTTGAATCTGTTTTTGATAAATTTTTTGATATAAAAAAATATTAAAAATAACCGTATAAATTATAAGAATAATATGATGATGGTTAATGACCGTTAAACTGGACCGGTGTAGCTGATAGTGACAGTAACGAAGTGTTTGAGACTGCTTCTAAAGAGATTGAAAACAATGTGATGATAGTACTAAGGAAGAGACAATTAATAATAAATTTTCCTTAAAGTTACAATTCTAGAAATTTTAGATAATTTCGAGCAACAAATCTTATGAGTGCAAGTGTGTATGTTGTGTTTTTACTCACTACTCATTTATTTTTTTTCTTACGTTCTGGTGGTATAAAATTTGGTCTGGTCGTTGTTATTTCAACTTCTTTTGGTTGTCGTTCTTGTTTTATTCTTACACTGGTATTTCCAATAACGGTTTCATTCTGCTTTAGTTTTTCAACGCATTCAAGATACATTGATTTTAATTGATCGAAATTAACATTATTTAAATCGATTGATGAGCCTATTTCATCCGTATTTCTATTATTCATTATTGTTATTGATTTAGAACTCTCCATAGTACTGGATATTGAATCAGAGTCCTTCATATCGTTCGATAAATCCATCATCTCGTTAAGTATGCAAGTACATGCTGAATCAATGATTAAGGTTGGATAAGATGATAGTTCATCAAAAGGTTTATCTTGATTGTGATCGCTTGTCGTTGTCAATGTTTCAATACAAAAATCATTCATTTGTTCATTAATATCATCATAATCGTGTTTCGACAATTCTGAACCATAATCTTTAGATAAAGATCTTGGAAATTGATCGTTACTTGATGCATTATCTTCAACTTTTAATGACAGTATTGTTGTCTCTGACGAAAAATATGTGTCACAACTTAAATTAGATAATAGTTAGTCAATCAATCTACTTTACTCTTAAATTTTGTAGATTAGTTACCTAAACGGCTGATTATATTTTATCATTTGATTACTGTTGATCTAAACAGCAAAGAAACTTGTAGCAAATCCGATAAAATATTTTAGTATTAGTTGAAATTATTTCTGATGTACTAATTTTGCGTTTGGTAGCACGTAAAAATTTCAAAAAATAAAATTTACATGCTGTTCATTCTTCGATAATTGTTCTGATTTTGCAAAAGAACTTGTAAAATGTTGTCTAAATTCAATTGGCTTAGACTCTTAAAATAGAAATTTGATACTAGCTGTAAAATATGTAATTATCACAGTTGAAGAATGTTGACCTTGCTTGATCTCTACTGAAGCTTCTAGTGTTTTTAACACATTGGGAATCGTTTCGAATGCAACATTTGATAATAAAAAGAAACTATCAGACTAAATGACAGAAAAATTAAATTCAAGAAAGGACGACGGACGATTTCTGCAAGAAAATGACCCTATATATTCTTGTGAAGATAACGACTAGAACTGGTCAGGAACCGTTCATTATTTAGTTTTAAATATTTCTGCGCTTTGAAAGTGGATTGTAGACTACCATATAGTGAAATCTTTAATCATTGCTGAGCATCGGACCAAAAAGCCTATTCGGTCGTATTTGTTCATTTTTCTCTGCGAGTTCGATGTTCTTAATAGAATCTTGTCTATGAAAACGTGTTCAATTACTTGGGCTTTAAAATGATCTATAGCCCATCTCTTCAAACTAAACTCCCGTCCACATTAGAAGCCCAGTGGGCTTCTATTATGTCCCGCAAAAAAGGCAAATTTTTCTCAAAAAGTACCCTATGGGGGCAGGGGCAATTTTCAAAGAATTTCTTGCCAGACTGGACTTCTAATGTGAGGGGGGGTTTAATGTCTTCATAGAGTTATTGGTCAAACATTATCTATGACTATTTGCTTCCCGTATACGTGGCCCTCATTGAATATAATAAAATGGATATAGTTGTGTCAGCGCATTCAGATCCGGAATGGTTTATACATAGAAAAATGTAGAATTGAAAGAGCTACAAAATGAGCCATAACACATTCTTTTAAATCGTAAATTTGTTAGACTTATGAGTAAAAAAATGAAACACATATTTTTTGTGTTTTCCGATTAATTTCGCTAATTTTGGTGATATGGGGCCTTTTTTAAATTGAATGCTGTTTGATGAAACAGTGTTGTAGAGAGCTCAGAGGCGTCTTGACTTGTTCAAAAATGTTTTCTGTATATGATGAGACTGTTACAAAAAAGGTATTACTCGAATTCGGGGACTTGGTTTTCTAGGATTTTGTGTTTTCCGAAAATCGGGATCGCAGAAACTTTAATGGAATCTTTATTTGTCACAGACCAGATTGAAAACTCCTTGAGCCATGCAAATTTTTCGTCAGATTTGTTTTAGCTATTATCTTCGCGGAGAAAAACTGAAAATACACGTGGTTTAATAGTTTTGACAGCAACCGTAAATAAAAGTTGCGACAGTCATTCAGCGTATAAATGCTTGATGATATATATACTTTAAAAAAAAACTGATATATCTGAATTTGAAGCACGTTAAATTCTGCATTTTTGAATATCATAACCATTTCGGGTTCGATTTTATGTACAATACTGTATCTCATTCACCGTTCTACAATGAGTCAAAAATACTGCATCCGTTCGGTATCTTGCCCATAAGTCTAACAAACTTTTGACTCGATGCTCAGCAACGATTAAAAATTTCACCATATGGCAGTCTACAATCAACTTTTGAAGCGCAGAAATATTAAAAACTAAATAATGAACGGTTCCTGATCAGTTCTAGTCGTTATCTTCACAAAAATATCTTGCAGAAATCGTCCGCCGTCCTTTCTCTATTCTTGTCTTTTGTTTGATGAAACCTACTTCTGAATTTTTACATGTATGTTCCAGATTTGACATCGAATTCGACGATCTATCTACCAGTTCTTCTCGTAGATAATCATTTTCTTTTGTAGACAAACGACCGGATAATGGTAATGGTGCTTCATCACTATAGAAAAGGACCACGATAAAACAAAAGAAATCAATTACATAGCTCTAGACAATTGATATAAACAACTTTACTTCGATGATGATAATTGTGTCATCCTAGTCGGTCTTTCATCTTGTGAATGTTGTGTCTCATTCAAAGTCCATAGGCCACGTTTAATACGTTTAAAACAGTCATCTACCGTCAAAGTATTCCGTACAGCATTCTATACAACCATAACAAGAATTAAAAACGAATAAAATGTCCAGTTGAAAAAATAAAGAATATACCCGCCATTTTTGCTTTGTTCTTTCATAAAATGTAAATTTTTCTTGAATCCATTCATAAATTTGTTGTACTGTTAATTGTTTGTTTTGCGATTCAAGAATGGCCTAAAAATATTGAATATAAAGTCGAAATGAACAGTGATAAAACATAAAACTATTGTTACGATCATCAAAATTCAACATGTGAACACCATAATTTAGCGATTGTAAGCCTTCTTACCTGTTTGACTAACTGTTTATAGGTTAACGGTGGACGAATATCGCTTAATCTGGAATAATTATGGATTTCTAAACCTAGAATGAGAAATATAAGCACATCATTTAATTTTTTTATATTTTATGAAGATAATACTGCTCTTACTATTGTTCCATTTTGATACTTTTGTCTTTGCATTTATTCTTGTGCCAATCAATGCTCGTAATGGTGACTTGGTAGTACGTACCCCATTCCGATATTGTTTCATACGTTGATGAAACTGTTTGGATCGTAAAGCGCACTCGAGACGATCAAGACGAAGATTAAAGTCCATTGTACGTGCCTGACACGTCATTGAACAATAATCTGATGGTAAAAAATTAGCATCGCTGTATTCTCCAGTGTTTATCATCATCAGATATATTTCTTGCTAGTAAATTGCTCTAGAAACATCAAACCAGCTAACTAATTTGAGTAATTGACCTTATTGAAACATTGTAAAAAGAACTGCGACTGTAAAACAAATAGACATAGACATATACTCTCTTTTGCCGGATACTTATAACAAAAAGAAACCTATAGAAGCTCATTCTAAGCATTACCTGGCATGTTTAACAACCGTGTAAAAGAGTCATAGTCTGAGGAATATTTATGGTAATAAGTTAGTTGGTATTCCACGGTTAGTTTGATCGTGTCAGCATTTTTATTAGTGATTAAAACGTACATTTATACAAACGTACGGCTGTCTATACTGTACTATTTTAATCTTTTGAAGGCGAAACGAACGTATATATATATATATCGCCCTCAAAAGATTAATCGATGCAACACACGTAAAGTTAAAGGCCTACGATAATTTTTATCTTTCTGTTTTGGATTTTTTTCTATATCGTGTTGTCGCATCAAAGTATGCATCCTTATAGTCTTATATACATTCATTATATAGTTTGTACTGAATATGAACATCTGATTATAAATAAAAAAAAAAAAATATATATCGTATATATCGACAAAAGGGAAATCATTGAAACGGAACTAATTAATCTTTATATAGATTTATAATGTACCAGCTTAAACGGATAGTAAAATATAGAATTCTTGAAGAAAAGAAGATTTCTTATGCGACGTAACAAAAGGAGGAAAGGAGTAGAATCGTAACATTCTCTGAGGTTCTTTTAGTATTACGTAAACAACTTTTAGCGTTTTTTACCACTCCGTATTCTACTGTCATTACATATCAGAATCCCTTTTTGTGATAACAAATAAGCGTAACAGATTTGAAAATTGAATAAGATTTTTTTCCTAAGGAGAACAAATCGCTGTTTTTTTGTCGTTAATTTTGGGGAGAATAGTGTTCTGAATAGTGTGTGAGTGCGGTTTGGCTTTTCTGCTCGTAAAAAAACAAGTGCCTGTGGCACTTTTTGAAGCCATTGGCAACCCACAGATTGAAAAACAGTGCCCCGTGGTGGAACACTTTTAAAAGCGTCCCATTCATCGCGCAAAAAAGTACCCTGGGGACCTGCTTTTTTACAGTGTATACGAAATCAAACAAAACTAACAATCGTTTTTAATAAGAAAAAATCATCAGATCTCAGGCATTATTACAAATCCTTTTGTATGCCTATTTGAACAAAAACCGAAGGAATTCACAGAAAAAAGATTTTCGGTGGAAACTGACTGAAAGGACTTTTTGTCTGATTTCTTGACTTCGAAACTTTTTCTTATTAAATTTTTTGTGTTACATATCATTCAATGCAGTTTGATGAGCTGTTCGTGAATACGGTATTTGTTTTAGTTGAAATACTTTTTTGGTAAGAAGAGCGTTCGTTTATTAGACAAAACGTCCTTGATCATTTACTGGAGGTCCCCAGATGTTCAGAACTAGTTCCATTAAATTCTGTATGTGGCTTTCTCTCTGATGCATAAGTTTGAGTCTGCTAAGCCGTACTTGTCAAAAGTTATTTGTTTTCTATTTTCCAATGTGAACAGACAGACAGGGAAAGAAACAAACTTTTTTTGGAACGACCGTTTCTTTATAATCAGAAAGATATATTTCACCTCAATTTCATCTGATCTTCCAATGATGCCCTGGTAATTCCAAGTTTTATGAAAAATAACATACATTGTCGATATTTCTGTTGATATAGAAACATTATCGAATGTTTAATTCAAATGATTTCATTTACATGCATTGTATCTTAAATCAATATTTTGTACATAATCATTCTCCCGGAAAATACAGTTAAATAAACTTGTGCGTCTCTAACACTCCAGACTTACTTGTGACTATTGTTTTGATGTCGTCGCTCCGAATATGAAGATTATGTCATATTTCTAGTCTTTTTATGAAGTTGACTTCGATCGTTTGTTCTTTTGTCATTTAGTATCTGTTTTATTTATTTCAAAGTATCTGAACACGTTTTTCTGTGTTTTTGTTATCCATTTATTTGTTTGTCAGGGTTTATCACGTTGTAGCTAAGAAACTCTTTAGTAATATATCATTTTATCATTTTATATGAACAATTTCAGTTATTCATGTATACACATAGAGATGTGAGCCGGATTGATTGGTTGATGTCAGCGTGGCTAACATCTCTTCACACAGTACTCTCTCGATAGCAGTTTTGGCGCTCAGTAGATACATTTCTTTTTTCGCGAATAATGCAAAACATAGATTTTAATAAATTTTTTTGTTTCAAAATCAAAGAAAAAGTCTACGAAATTATCGAGACCAATTTCTAAAAATCAACCTCTTTAATTTTTGAGTTTCAGACATAAAAGTATAAAATAAATCTGTCTTTGCAGCTATCACCAAATCTCAATTTTTTGTAACGTGTTCAGAATCGTAATGTTTTCTCATAATGAAGTTTAATATACCACACGCCTCGTCATATTTAAATATAACGTTTATAAAATATCTTTGTGAGGAGAGAGTTGCTTACTAACACAAAAGTCTCCTTTTTCCCAGAAAGTTTTTTCTAGAGACAGCCGAAACAGTTATGATAAAATATAAGCGATTAAAACTCGAAATTTATGAAACAATACAATATATAAATTATAAAAAATTAAAAATTTTTTTAACAAAAATTAATACCGGAAGTAGATTATGATAAGCTCATTTATAAAGTGAGATTAGGAAGAAATGAGAAAAAGTATGTATGTATCACGGTTTTGTATATAAAAAATTCCAGTATCAACAGAAAAAGTGTTGAATATCATTCACCTAATTTTAAAGCTCAATAATTTATACACGAGATATTTGTTGATTAGAAAATATTTAAAAGACATGAATTGCAAAGAATAGGCGACTAAGAATTTTAAATAGTATTCAATGATTGCATTGACTGTGATCTTGCTTGGACTCGTAATAATCTTTCATGTTCTTTTTCATGTGTTTCTAACAAAGATTTATTCTCACGAATTTGTCCACGTTGACGTAATAATCTTAAATATGAATCTTCACGTTTTGCATGCAACTAAAAAGATCAGAATACAGAACTATCATGAAAATAAAAATTGATTTAAGCTTTATTCTTCAAAATACAAGTGGTATACCACTTGTATAGCAATGAATTTAGTCTTAAGTGTTCGAATATATTCGAAAACATTCGAATACCACTATCTATTTTAAATTGTGACTCGAAGAATTATGTTTCCATATGTTTTTGAGGTCTCTAGTCGAGACTCCCCCATCAACTGCCTTGAGGAGTCCACCATTTTCAGAAAGATCGCCTGATGATCCTGAAGAAATCCCCTGGGGATTCACCATTGAGTTCCACGTCGATGAACCTCCTCCGGCGGTCCTATGAAGATCCTCTTGGGATCAAAGAGTCGCTTTCCATCACCCCCAAAACTCCTTGCCAACTCATCATTCACCTTCTTTTTTTTTGCAGATAGACAACATATAAATATAATACAGTTCTCTGATAAAATTTTACGAATTTTCTTCTAGTTGGTTGTCACTAACGTGTCGGCCTTTGTTGGCTGATATGTGTTACATTGGTACCAGTAATGGTACGTACCATATATAGTAAAACCGTACGAGTCTAATGTATTATTTTTAGTTCTGTTGCTAGGTCTCTCTCACGCCCGAATGATCCACCAGGCGTCCCAGGTGATCGCCGCAGGAGTGTGGCAGATTACCATGGTGATCCCCTAGGGAGCTTGGTGGATCTGCTGGGATCCTCTTGGAAGTCCATCAATCTCCACTCCCGCGGGGACCAGGTAATGTGGTCTCGCGGGATCCCCTGTTAGACTTCCCGGTAGATTTGGAGGGAGTTATAGGGTGGCTTTAGATGGAGTATCGACTAGGGGTTACTCTACGTAATGAGAAGGCAGTTCTGAGACTTATAGGGAACTCGTTACCACAGCTAAACGATGCAATAGCAAAGACTAGCTTAACCCCTGTTTTGAAGAGGACACTTTAGGTTATCTACACATGTAAAAAAGATCAATACATTTTTATTTTAAATTTTGTTAAAGTCTAGCCTATCGAATGGCGAAAATCGCAAGTTTCTACCATCTTTCGTTATTATAATGAGTTATATATTAAAAAGTAGTGAGACGCTTCTTAATTTAAAATGGATGGTAGTCTGTATGATGTACAATCAACAAGAACGTAAATAAAATTGTTCACAGTCATACTAGGCTGATTCCAAAAGTTGTATCGTTATCGCGAATAATTACTACTTACTTTATCAAGTTTTGACTTTTCTTTGATCAATTGTTGTTCTAATTCTCTCTCTGCTTTTTCTGCTTTTGATATTTCCTGTTTAATTTTTTCGGCATGAACACGTTTGGTTTTAACTAATTCATCTTGCAATTTTTTGACATCTTGCTCTTTCTTTCGTCGACCAGATTCAGCTTCTTTTACACTTTTGTATAAATCATGTTCTTGTTCTTCATTTTTATTCAGAACTTTCTACAACAACGAATGAAGTAATAAAATATTTTGATCAGTTCGCATAAAGTACAGTCAATCGAATGGTAGAGGATGATGTGATAGTGAATAAAAGACATATTTTAGCACTCAAACTTTTCGTTTCTATATACGAAGGAAACATCTATAGCTTTCATCTACACTAAATTTCATAAAATAAAATGCAAAAAAAATCTCTTCAAATATTCAATTTATATAAATTTTTTTCTAACACAATATTTTATTTGAACGACTAGGAATACACGACTCTTACTTGAAAATGCTTCAGGTGATCTTCATGTTGTCTTGTTTCTATTTCAATGTATCGAACTTTGGCTTTCTCGCTCCCCAAAAGCTCTTTTTCTTCTGATTTTTCTGTTTTGTCGCGTAAGTATTGACTCATGAGTTGATTTCGACGATTGCTTACATCCTAAACGAGACATAGATGAAGTTTTATAATAGTGTCTAGCGTTTTCCAAGATATCTTTACTTCAACTTTCGTCATCAGCTCAATTGCACGTCGATCTTGTTCAGCCACTATAGCTGTTTTATTTAATTCCCGTTGTTTGGCATAAATATTTTCTAAACGATTTTTTGTGTCTACTATACGACGAAGAGCTAAAATGCAGACAAAACTAACAACAATGCAGAGATCATGTCTAGTTCGTCTAAGTATAAAATTAGTGGCATCAAACAAATCTGTTTCTGTAAAATTGATGACAGACATCAAGCATGAACTAAAAACTAAAAATCGTTATCAATGTGTTAATTAAAGCTAACTCGTTTGAAGTACAAAGTCAATACTAACACATGTTACTGTGATGCAATAGAAGTTTACGCAGAATAATAGGTGTGTAATGATTTCGATAATATTCGTGCACAAGTTCTTTCATATCTACAAGATGTTCACCACACTCCTGCAATAGTAGACGATGTGCATGTGTACCTTCACGTTGTTTTAAATCCAATAATGATTTGTGTAACGTAATATCACCGGATAAACGTCGTCGTTCAAGATCGTAATTTTTAACATGAACGCTTGTTTGACTAAAAACTGTACTATTAGTTACGATAAAGATAAATATATGTTGTAACTACCTTATCTTCTGTTCATATTTTTGTTCTTCATTTAAGTCTGACTTTATTGTAATTGTTTTATCACGACTGATTAATCTGAATAAGGTAATAATATGAATCTAAGGTTATCGAATATTGTAGTATATTGAATAAATTTTACCCACTGTTGAAATTCTTTTAAGTCTGTTTTTGCTTTTTGTGCTTCCATATTAAGAGCTAAAGCTATTTCACCCAGTTCCTTTTTGATTCGATTTTCTTCAATCTAAATGAAATTATAAATAAAAATAGACAAACTAGTTCTTGAAGGTTAGAGTCAAATTCTTACCTCTTTACTTTGTACTTTTTGTTCAAAATCTAAATGCAGCCGACTTAATTCCTTATGTTTAATGTCTAGTTGATTTATTTTTGTTCGATATTGTCGCGCCAAATCATTACACATTAATAGATTTTTACGATCTTTATCTTTTGTCGCCTGTAAAGTGTCAACAGCACGTTCAGTACGCTGTTTTGTTTGCTAGACACATAAAAAGTACAATCTATGACTTCAGATACGACGTAATGACGAGGATTATATACTTGTTCACGTTTCTTCACGAATTCACGCTCAATTTTGTCTTTTTCTTCAAGATTTTTAGATAAATTCTTTTCAGCATCAAAACGTTTCCTAGTCGCATCTAAAAAATGAAATATATTATTAGAATAAATTTCAAAACTGATAATGAGAGGCAATCCAAGGGTACTTACCAACATCTAGTTCTCTTAGTGTATGATGTAACGACCTTTGCTCTTTTTTTATATCCCCTTCTTGACGTTTTGTTTCTCTTTCAACTTGTTTAGCTTTGATCATTTGTTCCTGAAAGTATAAAAATAAACAATAGTTTTCCTATAATCATGTACTCCAAGCGCTTGATACCTCTATTAATCTCATTTGTTTATCGAATTCTTTCTTTTTATTTTCTAAATTTGCTGATATAGCTATCACTGACTGTCCATCCGTTTTAAGCCGTTGTCTCGGTGATATATCTGCACTACGAGAAGTAGCATGTTTGCCAAATGATGCGAGTAAACCGGGCAATTTGGAACCTCCAACACCGGCACTCGACGATATCGGATCATCTTGTTGACGATGCAAACTTCGAATACGACGTGATGAATCGACATAACCACCTTTTGTCATATAACGACCATGTTTTCTAAAACAGAAAAAAACAGCAAGCATAAATCAGTTGCATATCAGTTCAAATTTTGCTTTAAATACCTCAAAAAATCTGCATAATTGACAAGATCATCATCATCGTAAGTATAAGCGCTTGTTTCGGCTATCGCAGCATAACGATTATCCAATAATGACGGTCGAGCGAATGTCGTCATTGAATAATCGAAAGGCCGTAACAAAAGAAAGAAAATAAAAATATAATGTGGTTACAAGAGAAAGTCTCGCATAATCTACTCAGAAGAAAAGGGTACTTCTACAGATCGATCGCACACTCACACTCACACTCCACACACACCACACACACCACAATAGGGGGTGTGATCGATCTGTAGAAGAACCGGATTCTGTACAGAAGATAGTCAAGAAATCTTGATAGCAAGCTTTAGAAACCATCTTTAACTTTTCCTTGACTGATTGTTATTTTTGCTCTCTTAGCAATCAGCCATTCGTAAAAACATTGACGGGCGATTTCTATGACAATTATCTCTAACAGCTTAACAGAAGAGTAGAGAATTTTAATGTATTATTGTTTCTCTCCTCTAGATTTACTTTTCTATCGACGATAACTTTAACAGTTTCTTGTTTATGATAGATGTCGCTTTCTAGCACCTATACTTAATTATTATATATTTTATACGGAATGACTATTGACACCCCTGGGATGGCAGCAGGGAGCTATTGACAGTTCCAAGACGGGCAACAAGGAGCTATTGACACCCCATCGAACTGGCAACAAGAGCTATTGACAGTCCAAAATGCACCTACACACTGCATAAATGTGTTATTCAAAGTGTTATGTTGAATTAGTTCTGAAATTGACGGCCTATGAGAGGTGATTTCGGGTGGGTTGGGTGGCTGTACATGAGAGTGAGCCACTGGAATACTTCCATGTTACCTGGAGATGATGGTCTTTATTAAATAACACATTTTTGCAGTGTATAAGTGTATTCTGGACTGTCAATAGCTTCTTGCTGTCACCCCGGACAGCAATAAAACATTTTAATAACGGTACTTGATTTCTTCGTAATCATTCACAATGTGCTTTTCTTCCGCATCAGTTTGATTGCTATCGATGGATTTGTGGACTGGTGGAACGAAGTTGCTATTAGAGCTGTACCATAGAAAAAAATAGCTACTACGTTTTAACCGTACTGGTGTTACTCTTTCAGCGTAACGCTGCTATTTTTAATGTGGTGATGATACCATAACTTTGCCACGGCAGCATCTCTTTTCCTTTTTTTTCCTTTTTCGTTTCTACGACGATTGACCATGTAATGGTAAACACCTCCAGGATTGTCTCTAGTCATTACGGGTGGAAAATACAAGAATCATCGTGAATCCTGGTCAGATCTTGCCGTTTTGATTTAATCTTTCTTATTTAGAGTGAAAACAGTCGATTACTCTTATAGTTTTTACTGCTACATAAGTAAAAAGAATGATACACAAAATGAATAGTAATGATCATTTAGTAGCGTAGTATCACTTGGTGTAATAAGGTCTGTTATTGAGGAACTGGGTCCAGCGTATAACTCATCAAATAGTTTTGCTCTGGCAGCATGATAATTTGAACACTGCAGTAAGAAATGTTTTGATCTCCGCATGTACACATATCATTACTTGTTAAATTATGTGTAAATAATCTACTATTGAGAGGTGGAAAAACAGCAATAAACTGTACAGATGGCTTCTCATACTTTCTCTATTAATGGACATTTAAGATATGAAACAACCCTCCAAAAATATTTTTGTCGACATCGGTTGTGCACGGATGCGTATTCATGCCGAATAAATTTTCTTCTGAGCATCGATGCGCACGAGTGCGAGATTTTTAGATCCTTCTGGCACCAGTGCTCACCGATACCATAAAAAAAGGTTTCGTTGCGCACCGGTGCACATCGATGTCAAGTTTCTTTTTCAATCACCATTTTGTTTTGTTATTGTTCGTATTTATAAACACTATAGTATACTTGTAACATTTTGAATATCTTTTCGGCCCACATCTTTTACGTCTCATAAGAGAAATGCCGTATGATTATGGCATGCGCATCGCCGATGCCGATCCTTTTTTTAGCAGTACCGCATCAAATTTATTTTCTATATAGCTATTATACAACATAAATTGAAACTGTTTTATATTGTAACTGCCTGTAATTGCATAAACATATAAAGTCATTTTTTTCGTTACAAATGATGAGGCGATAGATAGAAAAGCAATGTTTCTATATGTTAGAATACAGCAGTATTTTCAACTCAATTTAATCTTTCTAGACTTTTCCAGAATCTAAACTATTTCATAAGACCATTTTTTAAGTGTAACATATTTGCATGATACAGATTTTCTGTATTGATCTGTCTCCAAAAATGTTTTTGTAGTAAAACTCGATATCATCGAAAATTCGAGATTACTGCCAATACTCCATTTAACTGTTACAAACACTCCGAAAATCGTAACTGGATACCTTTTCTCGGAGTCAGATCTGCCTGAAGCTTTTTCCAAATAAACTTTACTGTTCGCCCAAAGCATTCTCATATAGCATGAAAGGGAAAATACTACCGATATTTCAATGTTTCGAAAGAAGAAAGTTCGTATTGTCTATATTTAGTCAATTTTTGTTTTTTACTTTAATCTATTTTATGCATGACATTATTAATGAACGGTGAAGAAGAAGTATTTTTGATTAGATTGTTAGAGGAAAAGAAAAGAGGACCGTTGCGCTCTTGATTTGAGTTTGTGACTTATAGAATAAGAGGCCTTTTCTATCTATCGCCTCATCATTTGTAACGAAAAAAATGATTTTACACTTTATATGTTTATGCAATTACAAAACAAGGCAGTTATAATATAAAACAGTTCTAATTTATATTGTATCATAGCTAACGAGTGGGCCATAAATAATAAGAGTATTAGTATTTTCAAATTTTCCTCTTTTTCTTATAATTGATCGAGCAAATTCTTTTACTGAAAGATAGCGCGCTCAATTCTCCACAAAATATGTATTGACTGTTTATTGCAAAATCCGAAGGTGGAAAATGAGATGAGAAATCCTATGAACTACGAAAATTCAGAAAAAAATAACATTTTCTCATAGAGTAGCTACATTTTTTCAAAGGGGGGGGGAATCAAAAAATGGGAGTAAGGTCTCTAAAAATAAGCCCCTGACTCTCCGAGCTCATGGTGAAGTATAAATAATCGATGAGCATCACTCATTAAGTTTGCCTAAACGTTACATTCACTGTAATTTTCTCGAACGTAGGCGGAAAAAAATAGAAATAAGTCATCTAAGTCGGTTAAGAAAGCTTCTTCAAAGAACATACTTAATATCAGTTTTCGAAGAAAGCAGCACTTTAGTATTCGAAAAAAACAAAATCGGAGTAAATCATCCCTCAGGTTTCTCCGAAATTCGGAGTAAATCGTTCTTATCTTTTCCCAAATTTGGGAGTAAATCGTTCATATTTTTTTCACAAATTGGGAGTAAATTTGACCAAATTTTTTAAAAAAGTATGGGGAGGGAGTAAACCCCCCCCCCCCCCCCCCCCCGCGGGGAGGGGGGGCGGGGGGGTGTGGTTGTGGGGGGNCCCCCCCCCCCCCCCCCCCCCCCCCCCCCCCCCCCCCCCCCCCCCCCCCCCCCCCCCCCCCCCCCCCCCCCCCCCCCCCCCCCCCCCCCCCCCCCCCCCCCCATGTGTTCTTGGACGCCTCTTCTTTGTCTAGAGCTGGCTCTAACATCCGTTGTTTATTAGAACGGCTGTTAGTGTTTTTAACTAACTTAACTTAATTATCCTTGCGTACCATTTCAGTTAAACCTTTATATATTTTATAAAATAAAAGCATACGCTGTATATAAAACAAATACTCTAAAGTATGCCACCCAAGATGTTTCAAAATATTCTCGCGTTCTTCGAATAGCACCATTTGAACGAAAAAGAATTCGGATACTATAAGTACTCCTATATCTCACTGATAGTTAGTTCATCGGATAGAGCTTGAAAAGACTCCGTGCTATCTTGTTTTGATTTGATTATGTGTGGAAAATATGGTTTACAGAACAAGTCTATTTTTCGAAAAGAGCGATTGTTTTAAAAAATTTCTGACACTCCCTAATATTTGGGAATGGTCTGTCTGGTATAGATTCTGTAATTGTACAATATATATATAAATTTAGTAGATGGTAATAGAATATATACAAATTCTAAACTGGCAGTATCAACTAAAAAAAATGTTCCGTTAGAAAATGTCCGCAAAGGCCTAGTCTGCCGGAAAATGGGCTTCTTACGCTGTGCCGTTGTTTCAAAACTTTTTAGCGTGCTATTCGCCACCGGGAGCTCAAGTTGCACTAATCTGAAGATTTCCAATGCTTAGCAAGTTGATGCAAAGTCTGATACGCTTCCGAAAGAATTATCCTCTCTCCGTTTTCCCCTGTGTGAAATGAGGACGTTTGTTCTTTCTAAAAATCTTTAATTATCAACTACAAACATTTTCTTGTACAAAAAGCAAACAAAGAACTAAACACTATAACTACACATTTTTAAATGACTGAAAATTAGCAAAAGAAAAACATACTTTTTATACAATCATGGAAATTACACACAAAACTTATCGTTGCGACGACTGTTGTCTCGACAGACCACGCCTTGCTCCCCCTCTTCTTGTTTGCTGTTGTGGTTTTACTGGTGAGTTGAATATGGTTGTTTTTGTTGACGGATCGGTCAAAAAGACACGATAAGGATTATTGTACCCAGGTGGCGGTTGGGATTGAACGGAGGGCGAATGTACACTTTGACTGAAAGACTGTGTTTGTGAGTCACTTTGTTGAGAAAATGGTTGCTGAGAAGATGGCTGTGAAAATTGCTGTGTGTTTGTTTGCTGAGAAGATGGATTTGGTTTCTCGACCGAAATAGATGGTGACTTTTCGGGTGACTTTTCGAATGTGATAGATGAAGCAGTCGTTGTTGTTGCTGTTGGTGGTGGTGGTGGTGGCTTAGGCTGACTTACTGGAATGGTGGATATGGGAGCAGCGGGTGCGACTTTAGGCGGTGGCGTTGCTGTTAAAATCGACGATTTTGGTGGGGGTATTGCCGTTAGGATTGATGGTTTCTTCATTTTTTCTGGCGGTGGTGTGGCTGTTAATATAGATGGGCGAGGTGTTTTAACAACGGGGGGAGGCGGTGCCGGTGGAGGCGTCATAGCGATTTTGGCGTCATCATTTATAATAAGCTTGGAAGACATTTGCGATGATATTTTCGAAGCAGGTTGTTCTTCTGCAGTGGTAATCATATTAAGAATTTCTTCTTGAATCAAGAAGATTTCGAGAGGAATCAACGGGGGAGATGACGAACGTTGATTTGAGATCTAAAAGCATAAGAAATGAACAAAACTATAGTTGGATTATTCATAAGATTATAAGACCATTAGTGATAGTCGTCAAATTATCAACTTGTAACTTCTTGTTCACACGAAAATATATTTTTGAAAGTTTGAAAATTTTTATGCGAAATGATGCTATCATGTTCGGATAGAGATACATGAAAAAATTCTAATTTACCTCATTAATCATTGTTTTCATTTTCTCTGGTTGTATATCGATTGTGGTATCTGGTTGAATATCACATAAATCAGGTCCGTCTTCCTTTTTATCAACTATATCTTCTAGAATATCTCTTTCTTCTTCAAGTGACTCTGTACGACAGTGAATACCATTTTGTGTTCCATTCATCATTTTCTCAAATAGTTGTATTGTGGGTTCTTCACTGACGTCATTTGCTCTGATTTGTTTTGCTCGTCTCTTCCATAGAAGATCTTCATCTTGTTCATTCTGTGGTTCTTCTATATCACTCGTCTCATTTTCAATATCATCTATATTTATAGTTGGACGTTTAATAACCGGTTTTGCACCTAAAAGGCAGTAAGAAGAAAGAATAGAGCTTCTCGGTCATACATTTTTCTATATGTTATTTTACCCGTAGCGGCTGTTTTCATCTGTGGTTTCCAAGTAATATCATCATCATCGTCTTCTTCAAAGCGATGTCGAACATGTTTCAGTGCGTGTTTAACAACTTGTTCGGGTTCACTAAATGAGCGTTTAAACGAAATACCCGTCTTTTTCGGTCCACGTTTTTTAATTGTTGTTAGTGCCCAATTGACTGTTTCTTTGAATTTTATTACTGGTGTTGAAGCTGTACTTGTATTTGGCGTCGTCGTTTCCGAATAGAGTGAAGGTCGAGAAGGAGTCGATGACGTCGATTTTTGTTGTTGTTTTGATTTAAATATGATTTTTAATTTTGAAGTGTCTTCCTCCTCTTCTTCACTTGAACTCGTTATGGTAAAATGGTGCGAAAGGCTATTGAATGTTGGTGAACGACGAAGGACTAAAGAAAAACGAACAATACAAAAACTGCTTTAGAACGTCCTATTGATAGTAAATAACGAAAACGTACCATTCATATATTCTTCATTTTTCTTCTTTTTTTCATCTAGAGCTTGTTGATAAAAATCTTCAAATCGATCATCGTACATCGAATCGAATATATCATGAATCTGATCTAACTTTCCCATCATTTTTAGTTTATAATCGTCAATTTGATTATGTAAATTTAAACGATCATTTTTATCTAATTCTTCCATTTTTGACGCTTTTATCAACATTTGTTTTGCTTCTCTCGTTTTCTTTATCATTTGCTCAAACTCATGTTTTAAACATAATTGCAAATCTGATAATTTACGTGAACCACGACGAGGAGCCATAATGCTAAGTTGGCGATTGATGACTACTAAAATCTAAAACCAGATGCTCTCAGTCAATTCTGAAAAATAAATTATGCTACTACTGACATTGGAACGGCCGCAAGCAGAAGTCAAATATGGAGCGGACCCATTGAAAAATTTTCTACGATAGCAGTCTCAATAAAAAGAGAAATTTTTATTTTTCTAAAAAAACGGTGGAAAACGCGTTCATTTTATAGCAAAAACGTGATTTTTTCAAAAACGATTAGAAACGCAGAAAAAATATTGCTGTTTTCTTTAATGTTAGAGAAAAAATTCGTTTAAACGCTGCTAAAGAAAAACGCGTTGATCTTCCTTTGATTTTTGGTTGTGGTTAGTTTGCCACACAGTTTTGTTTAACACTGTGAATGTGAACATGGTACAAACTTGTTGTTCTCGTTTTTTCTCGTCTCGTATGTGTCTAGTTGAAAACTATATTTATTTCATGAGAAAAATCGTTGAGAAACATAATATAACAATGGAAGTATCCTCTTATAAGAAACTGAAAATTACAGACACATTAATGTCTAGAAATCACTTGTATTTAGTTTTCACAGTAATATAGAGAGATAAAAATGACAATATATAGATTTTAGGTCGCTGTCAAAGCGGATATGTACGAATAATAAATAACAACACATAGACAAAGCACATAATGGTAAGACCCTCAGGAGAGAGCGAGAAAAAAAATTTCCTGGGTAAGCTATATTCGTTCTCTACGAAGTTCTGTTCCATACAGAAAGTTTTTTCAAGCGATCTCTTAAAGAAAAACAATCGTATTTGTACACCCTTGGTTAGATAAGTTGAACATAATTTTGCACCTTATGTCTCAGCATTATTCATTATCCGCATAATAATCACGTTTAATTGTTGCGTCAGTTGTAACGAACAGCCAGGCTATGGAATAACCGTCATATTAGACCTCATAGCATAAGAATAACAAAAGATTTGGTTCGGTTTAAAATATGTTTACCGAAAAAATTTGATGATCAAACCTGAGCTCAATCGACACTAACGAAGAATTATCAAATTATGAAAGTAGTGCACGACATCACGCAAGTCTGCAGATATTGCGCTTTTTCGTTTTGTTGAAGTCTTTTTTCCCCGTTTTTGAAAAAACGCGATTAAAGGCGTTTTTATCTCATATAGAAAATAAATGCTATGCTGGTAAACGGTATTTTTTAAAAACTTGTTCGTTTCCTTTCTATCTGAGATAAAAACATCGTTATCGACTGAGGGAAGTAGCCAGGATAGTGTGTTTAAGATCAGCACCACAGGCTACCGAGCCTTCCGATTCACCAGAATAAGGTGAACCAAAATAATACAAGATGAATTTCATTCCATTTAGTTAAAATCATTTTAAACGCAGATTCATTTAAACAGAAAGAATGCCCTATTTTCTACTTTCGGCACGTTTAAAAAAGTCTTTTCCCTTGAAACGAGTGGGAAAGCGTTCTCTCGTCTTATGGTTTCAGTACGTCGAGAAAACAAACGAAAAGGAAGATGTTTTCCTAGTTTCCTGTTTCAACGCTTCTACGAAACACCGGATTGAAAAGCATTTTTTGTTTTCTCGTTTTGATCAGACAAGTCACGTAGAAAATTTGACAATAGGATTTCCCTGCTTGATATTGTGAAATTCATAAAAACAAAGATATTCGAGGTAGAATGGAAAAACAATCACTTTTTCAATTATTCGGGAATTGTTGTTTCTCTCGCTATTTGGGGTGCTGGACATTGGAAGATACTTATGTTGACTTTTATTCGCAAATAGGATCATCATAGTTCCATCCATATTAAATAGAATATCATATATTGTAACTATTACAGGAGAGAAATTGATGGTTAGGGCCTAGATTAAGGAACTTATGACTAAGCTTGAATCAAAGTACATCATTATGATTTTAAGTTAAAAAAAATAATGCGCGATAAGTAGCTAACTAAAGAAAAGAAAAGCGCTAAAAAATTGATCATAAAAAATACTATCCTGCTATCGACTGCATCAGTTCAGAAAAAACGCCATGAAATGAGTCCATGTTAGACTAAAAAACATGCTAGCTAAAAACTCAACAAACCATTAACGGAACTTTTGAAAATACCATTATAAAAGAATCGAATCAGAAACGCTTCAAACGAAAAATTTCTATCACATGTTATACTTACAAAACACTTCTTGACCAGAAAGAGGGTACGTTATTTGCGAAATATTCTACTCAGCCATTGTTACTATCTTCGAAAAAGTCATATGAAAAATGTGAAAAAAGTGTCGTTTATATAGTTCATGAACTTGGATTTTTTTCGTTATAGATGGGAGAAAAGAATGAGAATGAATGTATGTACATGTCGGTCAACATTGTTCAACCATCTAAGTGGAGAAAAGAAAAAAATATGATCATATGTACAACGTATTCTACTTTTTCTTCTCATTTTTCACTGTTCAGTATATGCATTTACTTCTATATCGTACGCGTCTAAAGTACACGCAAATAGAGCACATTTATCACAAACAAAATATTCCTCTTCTAACAGGCTTACATTCTAGAAAGTTGTTACTCTGGGCCCGTTGAATTGATTAATTCTGAAATGACGATTCCATTTCTCTGCACTACGATCATTCACAATACTTAAATATATTAATTTTCTTAACCACAAGCTATTTAACTCGTCATGTAACTCTAGTTTGAGGTGAGGATACTCATCGCTCTTTGTCAAGGTACGATTTTTTTCAAAATACTGTCTCTTATATAACATACACAATTTTTAAGATTGAAATCTTTAATTTTTCACAGTGCTTTTGCTCTGGGTGGATTGTTGAGTACCAACGATAGAAACTGCAGTGTAATGAGATCAAATTTCGATGTGTCATAGGACTCCAGGTGGAGGGCAATATTTTGTCTTACGCCCTCCAGACTTTATGAGAACTGCTAGAAAGTTGAGATGCTGAACCAATTCAGACGTGTAGAGTCTTTTTGATATAGGTAAACTATAACTATTGTATTTAAGTATTATTTTTTTGTACTTGAATTCAGCCGCTTGTAAGTGTAATTACGCGCCTTCATTTTTCCTTGCAGAGATGAAGGTTTTACATAGGAATAACCATAGTAATTTGAATAGCAATTTTTTGTTTGTTTGTCTGTATAAACGAACAACATGTATGGTAGATGTTGGACTGGGGATTTAATGTGGAGTATTGGCCGGAATCGACAACTCATAAGCTTAAGACATCAGAAGAAAACCCGCGAAAATCAAGAAAAATCAGAAAACCTTTTTTTGTCCAAAATACCGAAGAAACACAAGCGCTAACACGCTTGGTGATCTGATGATCTTAAACTCATCGATTATCGCACAAATTGGTTTTAGTTAAATAAGAGCTTTCTCCCTATGTCGCTAGTGTGTCGTTGTCACTAGTTGTTACATCAATGTGCTGAAAAAAACGACGTAGTTTGTGTATTATCCGAACTGGATTATTTTAACCATTATTTTGTTAAATTTATACATGCTTATTATCAGTGTCAAACTCTGAACAAAATCTCATTATTTTTCTGTTAAAATCAAAGTTTCAGAAAGGTTATGAATACGCAGAGGAAAGAATCTTGAAATATGATGGCATAATATCTTCCGAGATTATATTACAAGATCTCACAAGATCTTATCATAAGAACTTGTACAAATTTGTAGGAAATTCACAAAACCATACACTAATTCATAAGATCTAATACGAAATTCGTCTGGATATTCACACACGTGAAGTTGAAGAAAAGGATTCAAAAGATCACAAGATCTTGTAAGAACATCCAGCAGGATTTCATGTATTCTTGTATGATATTGTAAGCTATCATGACAAGAAATGTGAACATGATACACCAATAACTGCTGCAACATCTTATCAATTCATAAACATTAATCTTATAGATCTTATAATAAGAGGTCACAAAATTATTGCATGATCTTTTTACAAGACTCTATGAGAAAACATCAGATATTGTAAGACTTTTTTCATCTTAATAGATGTGATGATTGGGTAATTCATGTTACTGACCGGGATTTATGGTTGCCATGGCTGGAAATAGAAAGAAGCTCTTGAAATTCATGGTTCATGATGGCATAGTTAATTATAGGTTGATAGTTGAGACAGCATCACCGAAGCCATTAATGATTGATTTGTGTTATTTAAATTCGAAATCATGTCATCTCTGACCTCTGAGTATACAAAGTCGTCTAATGGGTGAAAATGTGTTGCCAAATTTTCAAGCACTTTTGCTATAGCTTTCCCTAGAGTGTAAGACAGACAGAGGTTAGTTTGTGAAATAGAAAGCGTAGTTTGAAGTTGTTTTATTTGGAATAAACGAATTATCTGGATGAAAGTCTAAATTTTAAAGATAATCCTGTCGTTTGCTTTTCGTGAAAATCATGAAACTTTCAAAAAAGTTAAAATATAAATAAGACAAAAAGTCGATTTCAACCGGAGCGAAGGTCGATCAGTTTGTCGATTCTGTTCCAGCTCTAGCGTTTAAGTCCATTACTAATGTGATACGTTGTCGCATTTTTGCAGTATTTTAAATTTTGGTAGATGCTGAAGAAGACCGATTACTTGGAAGGCAGCTACTTATAAGTAAAGCACACAACTATGAAGGTTACATTTAAGAGAGGTACGTGGGAGATCATGATCTTGTTCACGGCACTTGTGCAGGAAAGCGCACGGAAACAATTGTTTACTTTGCTCTGTGTCTCAACAGATCTAAGATCATGTCTCCTTAATATGTAAAACATAGATGATGTTTCTGCTGCGGTTTGATATTGAAAATGGAACCAAAAAGAATTAAACCAGAAGAAAATTATTAAATGGCTGTTAGCAATGACAATTAGATGCGAGGTCAAGGTATATATGATTGTTGTTAAATCAATGGCATTTAATCTTTATTATAATGAAAAAAGCCAAGATAAACCTTAACAATACCTGGTGTACCGGATAACAAAAGTATTATTAACAACGACACAATAATGACAACGGATATTATTTTGTTGAAATATATCTAATCAAACGTGCTAATGGCGAACATCATGGTTAAAATCTGCAGAAATGTTTTTCTAATTTTTAAAAAATATTCCGAACGGTTTTTCGATAAGTCTTATTTCAGTTTGTGTCATGTGCCACAGTGATTTAGATTTGATCCATCAAAAATATTTTACATACGCGAACACAGATTGAATGAGATAGTCTATTTTTTTACTAAAGTAACCAAAATCAGTGCCATCTGTTTGCAATCTATTCAGTGACATGAAGGAATCAACGAAGTTTTCACATTCTATCTAGATATGCCCTTAAAATGAAAAAGATGTGCACTTCATAGTCAAGGGATTACGTCCCCTTTTGGTCGATGGCTTAAAATACAAATTTAGGTATTTCTGGTGGTGTGTGGTGCGTTCAGTAATGCCCGCACTCAGAATAATAATAATGAACGATGCCTTACAAGATTTTGTGATATTTTGAATCCTTTTCTTCAACTTCACATGTCAACTGAGCACAGAATAAAGTGCATGACTCATGAACGTGACTAAACACGTCCTTAATCCCATCTGTGCTAGGAAATATAGAAATAGCAGAGGGAGATAGGAAAAATGATAGCAAAAAGCAGGTATATCAACTTGAATATCCAGACGAATTTTGTATTGGATCTTATGTAATAGTGTATGGTTTTGTGAATTTCCTACAAATTTGTACAAGTTCTTATGATAAGATCTTGTGAGATCTTATAATATGACCTTACGATATTCTTCGTCCTGAATAGTAGCCGATGTATACAAAAAGTACTCTGAAACATAAGAGAAGGGTAGAGGTGGAGAATCTACCCATAAGAATGAAAAGCTTTCCCCGACGGGAAAAGTTCTATAAAATTAGTGTGGAAATATTTTTTTCTGCGGTTATTTTTCAGTAAAAAAATTCTATTACTAAAGTATTTCTGAAAAGTTTCCCCGAATAAAATAATTTTTTCCCTACGGACGCCGAAACAAGCGGGTATATTCTGCATTCCGTTTTATATCAGCATTTGAACAACTTTTTTTTCCTGTACAGTAACTGCTAGAATGTACCATCAATTTTACTATTCACAATTCAAGAAGGCGATGAGAGAAATTCAAATCAATCCAAGATTTTTAAGATTTTTGGTGTATATGTTAAGGAGATGAAAGTTTTTTAAAATCACAGTCCGAAACATTTAACAGGATCAAATGGATTTAATTTCTTCCTTTGAATTTGTCTTGTCAAATAATTATGCGTTATTATGTTAACTTTCTCTACTGTGTTTTCTTTTTTTTTTTATTACTATTCATAATATGACTCTCTCTCTATACGTGCAAGCTGGACAACTCGAAAAAAGAGTTGATTAAATTGAAAAATCAAAACTTTTTGAAGAAGAGAAAAAAAATAATGTTTATTTATGCATTGCCACAACTCAACCCTCAGTTCATATATAAAAAAGAAACTTGAAGCAACACTTCATTGTTCGATTTTTCTTTTTTTTTCTTGTACATGTCATTGTTTGGGTTGTTAGAGGGAAAGAGAAAAAAAAACGGTATATAGATATATATTACGGTTCTTTTCTGTTTCTGCCTTAGAATAAGAAGAAAAAAATTGTACGTGAATTTGTTTGATTTTCCTTTTCATTATTATGCATAATCTTTTTTCTTGAAATGTGGTTTGAATTGTGGTGAATACAAGGTAATTTGGCTCCTGTGGGTTGATATCGTCACTCTGTAAAGCTTAGCTTTTATTTCGATTTTTTGTTCTGAACTCTCATGTTACAAATTGTATCTCAACCTTTTAAGTGAGAAATATTCTAATTAAAAAATAATCCCGTTTTTCAGATTATACTTAGTCTATAAAAATGGGTGATTATGAAAATATTCAACGTCGTGTATGTGAAGTAATGGCAAAATCGGATTGGACAACATCTCGAATGCGTATGATGCCGGCTGATCAAATACGTCAACGTCGATCAAAAACAACTCGATCGGCGAACGATTTTATACAAAACTTACTTCAAAATCGTCGTCAAGGTGATTTGGACGATGATGGACTAGTTGATAAATATGAATTATTTTTAAAATCAAAAAAATTGACATCAGTTGATACTGTCGACCCATTAGATTTTGAAAAACAATTAGCTAATTTAACACGACAACAGCAACTCGAACGAGAGCGATTGAATATTAGTAATAATAGTTCAATGACAACACAACAGCAAAGATTTAAATCACATCTGAATAGAACAACGACTCCAACGTCACTCTCTCGGCAAGAATTAACTCGTTTGCCAAATAATGCCGAATATGTTATTGTGGATCGTCCGAGGCAGTTACGAAACGCTAGTCAAACTACTGATCAGTTTAACTCTCAAGATTATGAACAAATATCTACATCAAACAAACAGTTCAAACACGATTTTTCTCGATCGTCGGAACTACAAAATAATGAAATATTTGAAAACAACGATATTTATTCTTCAAACGATACGCTCGACATTTTAACTGATCAATGTTTACAACATGAATCGAATTCGTTAAATTCATCCGTAGCCGATCTAGCAGATGTTCACGTTACAAACACATCCATTGAACTAAACAGAGAACAAATAAAAGATGAACCAAAACAATTAGTTAAGGTAATAGTTATCTGCTTTTATTTAATTAGGAAAAACGATGTTATGTTGTGATATTATTATACAGAACTTGCATGAAAAGCACTTGTTCTAAAAGTTCGAAAGCAAAGGTTGAATGTATTTTTAATATTTTTAGCCTAAGCAACGCATCTTACCAACAATATCAAAGATTATTCCTAATAATGAAAAAAATACCACTCGATTTATTGAACAAAGAGACGAATCGATCTCTCAGGCAAATGTAACATCGATAATATCCGAACGTCGAAAACATTTTGATAACGGAATTACAACGAGTCTAAAAAATGATAGTAAACTTACTGAACAACAAGACCATTCTGCTAGCGAAGAGAGAAATTATCAGACTGTTATTAATCTACAATCTGAATTTATTCCGATTGATAATAATCATATATTTTATCAAAATATATTTATTCCAACAGCACTTCTACCAGACGGTACAGTATTTCCGAATGAAATTCAAAGCAAAGGACACCAGATAAATTCTCGTAACTCTTTGACTAATGTACTCAGATGTTTTCCAAAATCAGTGACACGATTACCACTGTCTAATGTGACAGTATCTAAAGAGACCGAACGACAATTAAACTCATCTGTACATGAATCTAAAAAGGATCACAAGCAGACAAACAAATACGGAGATATGTTATCGTTTTTAAATCGAATAGAAAATTCTTCGTTTGATGAATTTATATCAATACTTGATAATATCGACGAAAATGAAACAGAATCCATCTTCTCGTCGGTATGTTGTTTCTCTTTTTGATAAAAATCAGTGATTGAACTTCTCACAGTATTTCTATCCATCAGCAGACAAAGAAATTAGAAATACTGATTATATGAAAATCGTGACAAACTGATTTTCTACTCTACACTATGAATTATCTAGCACCACCGATAATTTCTTATTGAAACAAGGTAAGATTTTTTTTTATTTCCAGGTAGTTGACGATGTTTCACAAACTGATGATTTAGCAACGTTGACCGATAACCAAGCACATTCTATATCTCCTAGATCATCTGATATCATTGAATTTGAACAATTGAACATTGATCAAGTATTTTTCTCTCATACTTTCGATTCTCAAATTAAACAAAACTTTTATTCAATTTTAACATTTGACATAAAACATAGACTTAAAAACGTTCAATTATACACAATGTCAATAAATATTGTAGATATAGGAAATTCTTCTCTACCATACTCGATTTTTAGTGGACGAAAACCATCATTAAATACAAATAATCACCGAACAAGTTTTCAGAGATTCTCAAAACGAAAACAAAAATCCTATCCAATATTAACAACTGCTATTGATACTATTCATGACGGTGATAATACTACAGGAATTAGACAAAACGATATCATTTTAAGGGTAAATATATTGTTTTATTGTATAGAAACAAAAACACATTTCATTTTTGAATTTAGATTGATGAAAAGTCAATATGGCAGCTTACTGTTGATGAAATATCAAAACAATTAAATTGTCTTCGTTTACCAGCAAAGATAACTGTTGCGAGACTACATGTACCACAATTAGGAGAAGTTCCATGGCGAACAGAACGTTAAACATAGTCTTCCAATGTTAGCTGTGTTGTAGGACACTTTTTTTCTTCTATTATGAATTAAAGAAAAAAAAGAAACAAGATTTGTAATACAGTAGAATCTATAGTGCTTTTGTTAAATGTTAGTAGTCAAAATTTAATTCGTTAATATTGTTCAACATTTTTTGTTAGTTAAAAATATTGCAAGAGCAATAATGACTAATATATTAAGTAAAACAACATAAATCCTTGCAACAATGATTAGTTTTTAGGCTTAATATTACCTACACAATATCTGGTCAGTACTAGGCAAGTTAGGTAGAATATATGAGTAGAAAACAAGAACGGTTTCTAGGTGCTTCATATCCTTTTCGAATAAAACATTTTTTCTCTCCTGTAATGTTTGATTCTTATCTAAGTCTTATCTAAAGTTATTATTATTATTCTTACGTTAGTATCAATTAACCGTATTTTGTATTTCATATAATATTTACTACTACTTGAATTGCTCAAGTTAAAATAATTAACTAAAAAATCTATACTACACTCTAATCGAACACATCTAAATCGAACTCAAAATAAACATGAAAATAGGAATTTTTTTATCAAATACTCAGTATAAGATATTTGTCTAGATGTTGTAGCTAATCTTGTGCTAAGATCCCGTGAAATAACTATTGACAGATAATGGTTGTTTAACCATCGCATGATGCTTTGTGGTTGTACAAGTAAACTGTGCACTGTTTGCGTTAATAGCTAAACAAATGAAACTTGAGCAAATTAAAAATGTACGATCTGTTATTGATGTTGTTGTACAGGACATTTTTTCTCATGTCTATTGATAACTAAGTATTATTTTGACATTAACACATAGTAAATGTACTACTATTCACATCTATATCATTCACCGGCTTCTATGTCACAATCTCATCGTGAAAATGAGACGTATGAGAAGTATTAAAAGAAGTACATATAAAATAGATATTATCATTATCATAACTTATTTTTCAGACAAAATAAACTATCAAATTTTAAATCGATAACATAATACAGATTTTGAAGTGCATGTTTACATATAAATATTAATTCCATTTCAAACCTTTTCAATAATTCTCTTTTATTGATTTCTTTCTGTAATTTTAAAGTCAAACAACTAACATATATACATATATATATATGATTTCGCTGTATTAGTTAGAAACCATAGTGGTCTGTAAGTCTTGAACAAATCCTAACTGTTTTTAGCTATTGTCCTCTTTTTTCTAATACAATATACGTAGTCTACACAGTCTTTAATTGACTCATTAGTGTAAAATAAAATAAAATAATACATGAAAAATAATAGTCATGGGTGTACTTTATAATCTGAAATTATTCATGAACATATGGAGACGAAAAACATTTGAATTGACTTTTCTGCAGACGAATTGAAAGTTGAAAAAAATTTGTTTTATAAATTATTCATAAGCATTATCTAGTATTTAATTTCAAGTATCTTTGCTCAGGATCAACTAATTACAGTGATATTAATAGATTTTTGACACATATATTGGACGGACGTTTTAGTAAATTAGATAACTCACTGTAGAGGTCAGGAGAAAGAGTATGAGAGTTTTACATGTTCGGATGCCATGTATAGAACTTCAGAAGGTATTCATCACTGTGATATGAAAAATCGGTGTACATTCATAGTAAAATTTCCAACAAGTTTCGCCAGTGGAATTTTCTAAGAAGGGTAAAGGGCATGCACAGTTTTGCCCGTTTGCCCGTTTTCGGTCTTTAATTATGTTCGACTTACGCTTTTTTTCGATTTAAACCAATGAAAATAAAGCTTACCGTAATGGAAATGTCAAAAGATGCCTCTGTAGTTGAACGACTTTTTTATTTCAGCGGAAACTATTATGTACACTTCAATAATTACTGTGTGTTTTTGACACCTTTTCTCATACAAAAAATACCTCATATCTCAGTAATTAGTCGGACCTGAGCAAAGATATTTGAAATTAAATACTAGATAATGCTTATGGATAATTTGTGAAAAAAAATATTTTTCCAAATTTACCTGAAAAATAGTCAAGCCAAATCTTTTTTATCTGCATATAATGAAACTACAGGGTGCACACTTTGAAGTTTAAGAATAAATGCGAACACCTCACCGATTCGCTCTTTATCTTATTCTCACGACTTGCTCTTGCTTGCAAAAATATCTCGATTATCTTGCAAAATTCCCGACTTGGTTACGACTTGGAAAGGAGACGCATAAATAATTGCCATGTCTCACATGAAAATGGGGTTTAGCTTGTTAAAAGCATATCAACACAACGAAGTTTTTCTTGATTCCCTAACTGAGTGGCTTGAAAAGTTACTGAAAAGAAAGAAAAACGATGAGAAATGGCAACTAACACATATAATTTGTCAGACCAACTGCATGTTTGAAATAGCCTTAATAGATTTCTGGCAACGATTTGTAAAGGTTTTCCCACAGAAAGCATTTATCAGGTGATGACGAAAAACAATTTTGTTCGATTTTCTCACGAGCTTGTAACTCTCAAACCTGGTCAGCAAAGATCTGCTTGTTTCAGATGGGTACAGCACGAAAAAATTTATTTCGGGTATTTCGTATCGGATGTTATAACATCCGTTCATGTCATACTTGTTCCGTTTCAGATTTGTTTACAGGTTGATGAGAACATCATAGACGGTGAACAGTGATCGAAAAGTTGATTGTTTGAAACTATCATCATAACCTTTTTTTTAAAGTATATATATCGATTGAGAAGGAGGGGAGCAGAATGGAAAAAGCAGATTTATTGAATTACGTGATGTATTTTGTTAAGCAACCAGCAGTTTCTCCGACAATACGCTTTTCTCTCCAATGATAGATGTAACCGAGGCCAGATCAGCCGGCCTGGTCTTACTAGGTCAATACGGGTCTGGTTCGCCTAGCGATTTCTGACCTACCGATCGAAACAAAAGGTTCTCGATTAGTCGACTGAGGAAAAAAGTTATTTTTGCCTGAAAAATGAACACTTTTGCTCAGTTACATAAAGAAACGTTTTCGTATTTGAGATTAAAAAACATAGTTTTGTGTTCTCATGTTTATCAAAAGTTTTCCAGAGCACCGTCGTTTTGTAGTCAGTAATTTATACTATGTGAATATTCCATTCGTTTTTCAATGTTTGCTTCAGGAGTAAAAAAAATTATCAACTCCGGGAATATTTGTTTTTTGCACTTTCACACGTACACGTCCATAACTGGACTAAAAACTTTTGGGAAAGCAAAAGGAGACTTTTTATGTTTGTTTGCTAGTCAGATTCAAAGACCACTAGGCATCGCATCGATGCGAGCTGTATGTGAATCTCAAGATCTGGTTGCGTTATGATTAGTCTGTCTTGCACTAAACGGTTATACAGATAGTTTTAACTAACTGTCAAGGACAAAGAAATTTATTTGAAAAAAAATATATGACCGATCAACCGGTCGATCCAGTCCGATCGAGAAAATCTCGATTGATTACATCTATGCTCCTAATTCTGAGCAATCGAACCATGAGCATGTTACCTACCTACAACAGTATAAGAAGTAGAATCCTTTGAAATATGACATCGATTGCCAAGTTTTCTATCACATTCCTCTGATTTGTAGAGTTAGTAACATTCTTTAAGACACAATTTTGTATAGGATCTTGCTACAAGCACCTAAGATCGATAAAATGGTTATAGATTTTAGATGGATATACTTAGTATTTTTTTCGCCTTCTATTAACATCAATTACAAATCTGATAGAGCTTCTGCTGACTATTCCTAAGACGAGGACAGATCTTTTTCAATAAAAGCTAAACCATCACACTCATCCTGGTTTCTTGTCTTGATTTGTTGTTGTTATAACTAAACTTATCAACAGTAAACGATAATTAATTTTTTTAACTTTTTCATTCTATTTTCTTTCTAGAATGAAAAAGTGTAAGTGTGCCCTTGTTCTTTTATTGTTTTTATATAATCGTTTGTGTGATCTTATACTCTGCTTCGTTTAAACCATTCATACTTTTCTTTTTTGTTTATTTATTGAATTTTTGTTATTTGTAGTTAACTTCGAGTATTTTTTTTAATATATTGATAATAATAGAGGCTACATTTTCTACTGTTTTGTTATTACAACAGAAAAAGAATGAGAGTAGCTGTCCAATGTTAAAGGGAAGATTATTTTTATTACCTATAAAAATAGTTCGTTATACAATAAATACAAAAGGTAATAAAATGTTATGTTCTAACTGACATTCGTCGATACATTTCAAATGTTATTAATGTCACCATTACCATTGTTAGCAGTATTAAATACGAATAAGACTTAAAATAAATACAAATCATTCAGGTTAAAAAAGTAAAACTGTGATACTTACAAAGATATAATGTTCATAGTAATAATGATAAATAGTCGCTTTAATCCAAGCTATAGTGCACGGTAAATACGATTCTGATGACTTTTGGATATTTAAGTTTCGACAACTAGCAACAAGAAACACAATTAACTAAAAACATTTATATTAATTTGTAACAGACTTACTGTTGATAAATTTGAATAAGTCTTGAGTATTTTTCAGTCGAGTGTATATAAATGCCAATATTTCTCCAAATTTTTGTTGATACATGAACGCCATGTTCTTCCATTTGTGCAAGATTATATAAACCCTATTTTTAATGACACAACAATGGTGAACATATAGAAAATATTGATTTTTTTTCCAGATAATAACTTACTAACGGTTCCCCTTGTCTATATGCATTCTGATAGAGTTGAATAGCTGCCGTAATATTTTTATCAGAATAATAATCACCTAATTTAATTAGTGCATAAGGTTCACTTATTGAATTACGAATGAGCACAGAAAAATTTAATAATTGTTCAATACAATTGATTTTAATATTCAAGACTGAGCTAGCCTAGAAATCAGAATGACTAAGAGGTAGAACTGGTGAAATTTAGCGTCAACCGACATTTGACATTTTTCAATGTGAATTTTTTTGAGATTTACAAAATCGAATAGATTTTGCTCTTCCCATTGGGAGAGGGAGAGTGAGGATAGCCCAAGTCAGTGGAAAGAGAATTCGAAAGCCTAAAAATCTCTAAAAAAAGAGTTTCCTCACGAGTGGATTTTTTAGATGAGGAAACCCCTTGGTATTTTAGGGGTCTAGAGACACCTGATTTTTGACTACACAGAACGATAGAAAATACTTATGCAAAATGAAACATCTTCTAAGTCTGTACGATGTGTTGTTTTAGTAGCTACGAGGTTTTTCACTTATGTGATGTTCAACAGCCATTTTGAGATTTAATTGACGATCTGTTTTGTCAAATGACTCCAAAATCTCGTAATTACTAAACAATACATTGTACAGACTTAGAAGATGCTTCATTTTACTTAACAATGTTTTTTCTATCTTTCTGTGTAGTCAAAAAAAGTGTTCAAGTGGCTCTGGTCTTCTAAAATACCTGTGGAAACAATGGATTTCTAGAGATCCTCTTCTCACAATCCATTCGTAAGGAAACCTCTTTTTTAAATATTAAATAATTAAAATTAAGATTTATCTGCTCTCGCAATAGCTAGAAATCCATGGTTTGCGCCAAAATTTATCGGTTTTGGTGGTCTACCGATGTGGTACAAATCGTTAATACCGATTAGTACCGGTATAATACAAAACTGATATAGTATGAACCCTGGCGATGCCACTCTTATATCATGGGAGATTTCAAAACATTTCAAATTTTCAAGACACACCCAGTTACAAGAAAATGTCTAATATACAAAGCCATTTCGAACAACTTCAACTACAGTTGAAGGAAGCGAATGAGTCAACTAAGGTCAAAACTGCGACAGAACATATGTGTATGGGTATAAAGGATCGATCGCTCAAACGTCAGTGAATCGAAATTTAGCGAGTACACAGAGACAATGAACTAACTAATTTTTCTTCACATAAATAGCCGGCATTAAAATAAGCCAGTTCTGATCCAGATAAAGCAGCAATCAAATAGAATAGATAAGATAGAGCCCTAAAAATAAAATAGTTGTTAGAATAACTTAATTTTGTTATGACCATGTTACGCACCATTGTTGCTGATGATACGCTTTTAATCCGTTTCTGACAAGAGTACCAACTACCGTGCTATCTTCAGCAACGTTACGCGACCAACTAAAAAGAATCTATTTCAATAATCAACAAATTGTAGTTCACGTGTAATTGACATACGTTGCTGACAGTAATGAATTTCGCGATACCATTGGATACCCTCTGGCATTATATTGCGCCACAACAATTTTGGAATCTATTTGTCCACTTAAAGCGGCATAAGAGTAATAAGACCAACCAAGAACGATATCTTTCTTAAAACCGGGATAATGACCTGCTGACCACATAACACCCTTAAAACGAAAAAAAATCTGTATGAACTTTTGTGAATAAATGCGAGAATGCGAACCAAATTGTGTGCGCAATGGGCATCTTTTAATCTATTATAACATTCCATCCAATAATAAGCTGCTTTTGTATAATTTTTCTCAATTTCGTATGCGTGCCATCCTAAATTCAATATAAACTTCTTTCTCAGTAAACAGTGACTTCTATGATCTTTGTATACGAACCTAGAGCTACATATGCGCCATAAAAGCCTTTTTCAACAGCTTTATTAAAATGTTCAACGCCTTTTGTCATATTTTTTTCAGCACCGTGTCCCTAAAGAACTACATCATAAAAATTCGTTCTTGAAAAAGAACCGTTTTGGTTATACTTTTAGTAATGCTAAACCGTAACCAAAGTGTGCTGTTGGATCTTGATTATCATTAGCACCTTGGCGAAAATATTCAACAGCTGCTTGGACATTTCGAGATAACCCGTTTCGACCCCAATACATCAATGCGCCGAGTTGTCGCTAAAAGAAATTCTAATCTCTGCATCTAAGTATAACAATGATACTGTAAAATACCTGAGCGGATGTAACTCCTCTTCGAGCTTGATCTTTAAGCCAAAAAAATGTATCACTTTGATCAAATGTTAATTCATCAATTATTTTCTCATTTGTTAAACGAATATATTCCATTGAAACCTGATGATATTATTCAGAAGATGGATATTTCTCTAATGGTAAAACTCTATCGCGTACCTCTTTTTCTCTTGGTTGGTAATGTTCATCTTTTGATATTTCAGCCATTTGTCGGTAGTAAACTATAGAATATCGAAAAAAGAATTTGAAATAGATAGCTAAAATTGCTATAACTACAAACATACCATAGGCTTGATCATAGTCAAATGGGACATTATCTAAACCATAGAAATGTTTATGTCCAAGTGACAAAAGGCTAACACGATCATTTTGTAATGCTCCAGTCAATAATAACAGCTGAGACTAAAAATAGAAAGTAACGCTAGTTTGAATAATATACAAGAGATTGGTCTGGATTATGACGACTGATTTTTGTACACTTATTGTATCTATCCTCTTTTGAGTGATATTACCTTTATTAAAGAAACCTCAACTAGTTTAATAATCGTTTAGGCTATTGAAACATGATTTCTTAAAGTTTTTACTCAGTATAAAAAATTAATCTGAAATATTGTTGATCACAGTTTATGTCAAATTTCTGATTTGGAAAATACATTATCATGTATATTGACTTAATCAGTTAGCATCTTCGACGAGTATAGAACGTACAAAACTTTTATAAAAGTCGAATAAAAATCTTTTAAAAAAATTCGTTTTAAATTCTTCAAAATCTTTGATTAAACTCTTCCTGTCTGAACTTTGTCTTAATAACCACAAATCTGGGCTGAGCGAAACTTTCAGAGAACGTTGGACGTGTTGAAGAGTAATAATGATAGAATTTTCGGGTCTCTATATTCAGCGTTTAACAGATGTCATACGAACATCGATTCTCTCATTCTGGAGAGGAATGTCCTGAATTCAATTTGGGATCAAATCGAAATCTTTGCTCAAACCGTCAGAGCATTTATTACTGCAAAAACGAACTGCTATAAAAATGACAAGTAAAGTGTCCGTAGTACATGGTGTGTATTTTGAGAATTTAACAAAACACTTATAACTTTTGATTAAACTATCATTAAGAATTAGGAGATTAGGATTTTGCTCAATAAACCAGCATACTTGAGAATATTTTTGATTTCGATTCTGGTTTCAGAAAAGTCAGTTTTTACGGCTTCCTAGGGGTGTTAGTTTACGTTTATTATTCATTTATAATAATGGATAAATATAAATGATTCATTTATATTTATTTTCTAAATTTACACTAAATTAACACTCCTACGGCTTCCGGAAGCCTTTTTTAAAAACTTTTGACAAAGTCCAGATCATTGTAAATTTTAATAGTGGATGCATTCTGTTACCCGATGATGTGCTTAGCTTAATATCTACTTTTTACTAAAATTTTGTATTTCTTACTTTAAAGTGTGCTCTTTTAAGTTACGGATAGATTATTAGAATTTCTTGGATTAGCATTATTCTCTTCCTTTATTCAGCAGTGGATTGTTTAGTATCGTCTTTATCCTGCTCTATTATCATCACTGCTTATTTATTTATTACTGATTCAACAAACATTTTCTCCCGAGAACATCCTAATACACCATTACTCAAGTATTCAAAATTATATGAAAATGATTCTAGTAATGATATTTTGTTTAAACATTGTTAACAACGCTAGTATGTCCTCTTGACTAGTCTAAAAATTCCATTTCAAAATTTAGATCAAATATCAGACGATTATTTTTAATGATATTCAACAAAAATGATTGTGTTCAATAAAATTCTTGATTGTTCGTATGAATTATACTGTTAGTTGTATGTCACTCGATGTTCCGTTGACTTCATCGTGTTTCAGTCGTCGTCGTCCTAACATCATTCCTATCCAAATATTAAATGTCGTCAAGTACCAATTATAAAAGCATATGGTGTAATCGTTCGTATATACATCATGTCATTTTTAACTGTGATATGCATTATTCAATGATTTAATTCTATGTCTTGACTTTTCTTGGTGATTAATTTATGGAAAATAAAGGAATTACTTATCAACTCATCTTACGCAGGAACCTCTTGAGACGGCCCCCCACTTTTTTCAAAAGTTATGAATTTTTCTATTTTTCGTCTGCATGGTATTAGGTGAAATATTAAAAAAATCATTGTTCAGTCAAAACACGATATGTACGGCTGAAAGTATTTTGTTTAATAGTCTCACATATCTATTGCAATCATGGAAAGTTTCAGCCTTTATTTCCGAAGTTATAGAATTTTTCTTAAGGGAAGCCTGAGTGTTTCTGAAAAGTCATCTTTCGGTGCTGAGGTTTTATTACAGCTTTTAACGCTTAAATCACATAATTGGTGGGCCGTCAAAGTTACATTCATCGCCACTATGTCAACGTTTCGCAATTGAAAATTCTTTCCTTTGCTTTCATGTATTGTTACTGTAACTTTTGTACTCTAC